CCTAAACTACCTGAGGCTATGCAGGAAGGACAAAACAGTGTTTTCCTACAGAACCCCAGTCCGCCGAGTGCAAGGCAAACACACTACCTGCTGTAGTATATCATATAAATGTATAAGGGTGTATATAAATACAAAACTATTTCTTAAATGGCTTGCAGTTCACAATTTATACAGATAATGGGAGCATGTATCCGAGGATCAGGTTTTATTGCTGTGCTTCGGTGTTGTCAGGTTTCCTTTCATTGCAGGTGAGAAAATGCTATACAATGCTAGCACAGCCCTGATGAGTTCAAACATGCAGTTTGAACCAAAGGGCATTTCTCCATTCCCTGTAACTTTATCTTTGAATTCTATCATTGAATCTTTTCAATTTCTCATCTCCCTGAGCCTCTGCACACTTAGTCATATCAGAAGTGCTATTTCATTGTCATCTTCCTTTCTGTCCTATTAACTTCTGAGATCCAGCTAATCTGTCTTCATGCCCCACTCCAAGGAAACCAGTTTTAACTGACCCATTGAGCATGTATGAGCACCACAGCTGCAGACTCACAAGACACTGGATCCAGGACTGTGACCCCTGTGAGCACATGTGAGTGCCAGAGTGCCCCACAGTAAGCACTACGACTGGGTGACTCCCTAGAACCAAAATAATCTAAGGTTCCATGGAGGTAGCTGTATCTGCTCCTCAGAACTGACTTGGTGCTGCTGTCGTCGGCCTTTCCTGCTCACGACCTCTTTCTTCTGACTCCTCTTCCAACCTTTCCAGCATTCAAGGCTTCTCCCTCTGTGTTTATTTACACTTCCCAGAACTTGCTCCAGTTACAATAGTAATCCTTCTTAGAATTACCATTGGGATGTAGGAGACCCATGAAACTGGCCTTTCACAGACTGGAGGTCTTTGAACCTTAGTCATGTTAGAAGTCTTCCTCGCCCCGAGAACAGAGAATGACTCTAATGAGTCATGATCCAAAGATTCTCTCAAATCACTTCCATGCAGTTCCCACACAGAGAAATCCTTCCTTTTATATCCTTTGCTCAAGCCCTTAACTATGTAAATTTTAGCATACCAAACACTATTAATATTCCATCTACATTTCCTATTTCATTAAATTAGAGGATTCTTTTTTCTCCTTGCAGAACTTAGGTCTCTGTGGAAGCTAACAGGTTCTCTCTGAAATCAGCTCGAACTCTTTGAAACTTATATGCTCATATTTGACGGAGAGGTTTATAGGATAAATGAATCATAATGCCTGCCTCTAGCTTTGTCAATTCTGTGCTCTGTCTCAAGACATTTGGCCATTTCATCTATCTTTGATTGCATTTCTATGTGTATAACCAAAAATCTTTTTTCAAGTACCTTGCAGTGAAATGAAACTCATCTTTAATATCTTGTGAATGGTTTTCTTTACATACTTTTTGAAAAATGTGAAGATAATGGGATATCAACAATTGGTCAATGTTTAAGTGTCTATTTACAGATTTATGCCATGGTCTTCTGAATACAGAAATGTTCATTTCAAACTAGCATCCCAGTAGAATAACTTTGGTGACTTTAAGGATACAAGTCTGGTTCATATTAAATTAAAATGTGACCTTCTGATCACATACTTGTTTGAAAATATCCTGGTGGAGGAGGCATGGGCCACAGTATAGCAAGCAAGGCTGTACTTAGCAGGGTTCAACCCTGGTACTCCATATTCTGTGCACCATTAGGAAAGATCCCTGATGCAGAGTCAAGAGAAGGCCTTGAGCACCAGAGGGTTTGGTCCAAACCATCACCCACAGAATTAACTTCTATTTTCATCTACTCTGCATTGTTTTCTGAATTTCAATATTTTTGATTTATGTTACTTGTGTTCTGATTATTATTTTTTCCTTTCTTCTACTTACTTTGGGTTTTACTTGCTGTTCTTTTAGGTGTCTGGGCTATTAATATGAGCTTATTCTTCTTTCCTGATAGATGCTTGTATTAGTATGAACTTCCCCTTTTGTGCTGCTTTTGCTCTGTCCCATAAGCTCAGTAGTGTGTGCTTTCCTTGGTTTTGAGGAATCTTTTATTTCTTCTTTCATTTTCTCTTTTCAATAGTTATTTAACAGTACGTAGTTCACTTTCTAATCATTGGAGTATCCCCCAACTTTTTTTTAATGGTTATTTTTTATCTTCATAGTTTTGTGCTCTAAGCAGGCATAATTTTCATTCTCATGACTTTATGGACACTCATATTACTTCCCAGCATGTGGTTTATTAGAATGTTCTTGAAAAGAATGTATATTTAACTTTTGGGTGGTGAAGGCCCCGTACATACCTATTTGGCCCTGTTTTTTAAAAATTCCTTATTTAGAGCTTTTTTTTCTTACTGATGTTCTAAAAGGTGTGATTCCTTGTTCATGACTTTAAGGACACTAGAATTGTTCCCCAACATGTGGTTTATCATAAAGAATATTCTGGAGAATATATATTCAGCTTTTGGGTGGTAGAGGGTCCTGTACATGTCTATTTGTCCCAGTTCTTTTTAAATTTCTTATTAGGGCTCCTGTTTCCTTACCCATATTCTGTCTGGTTCATCTGTCCAATATATTAGTTTCTCACTACTATTGTGCTATCACTGTTTTATCTCTTCAGTTCTTTTAGCTTTATGAACTTAGTTACCCTTCATATGGCGTATTTATATTGATTAGCATTAAGTTATTTTGATCATTGATTCCTTAATCAGTAAGTAATGACTATCCCTAGCTCCCTAGTTCTCATTTCCTTTAGCTTGAATGTTATTTGATTTGATACAAGGAGGACCTTCCCTGATTTTCTCAGTCGGCCATACAGGTAACAGTATGATAGTTTTTTCACTCTAGGCCTGTATGTATTGTGAAAGTTCAGGAGTATCTCATAAGCAACAGAATGCTGGATTTTGTTTCTTGATCCACATAGCCACACTCTGTGCCTCTTGATAGAAGAGTTAAGTCCATTGACATTATATAAATTATTAATTAAAGGAATTTGTTACATTTTTTTCAATTAGGGTTTTATTCATTTTGCCATTGGCTATTTTTTTTAAACAGGATGCTGTTACTTGCAGAACGCATTTAGATACAACAATTGTTCTTAGTTTTTTATTCCCTGACATTTTAGTCCCACTCTCTCAAATCTAAATGATAACCTTGCAGGACAGAGGATTCTTGGTTAGAGGCTTTTTCATTCATTATCTTGAATATATATATATATATATACATACATATATATACATATATAATCCTATTCCCTTCTTACTCATATAACTTCATTTGAGAACTCTGATATGAATTTTGTTTTGCACACATTTGAAACAGGAGTTTGCTTTTCATTGCTACTTTATATCTGTCTGGTTCTTATTACTTTGTTACAATGTGTCTTAGAGTTGGAGTATTTTATTTGGCTCTCCTTCCACCTCCCTTATTAGTGCCAGATTCTCTCCTCTCAGACTGGGGAAGTTTGCAGATAATTATTTTCTCTTCCAGAATCCATTCTTTCCCTTTCTTTCTTCTGCAGATCATTCCTTTTCTTTGTAGCTTTGAAAGTCACCTTGGACTTTCTCCACCAATTGGGAAGGCTTAGTTTTCTTTTTTTTGCCCTACCATGCCTTAAAGGAAATCCAAGAATAAAGAAATTAACAGAGAAGAACACTTTTGAAAATATTAAATGTAATGATCAATAAAATTAAAATCACAGTCACAGTAAGATTCTTTGTCTTTCCTTATGTTTGGATTAACTTCAGCATGCTTATCATAGACTTCTCAGGTCCCCATGTCTCGGCCTCTGATATTACTCCATTCTACTTACATTACTCTGTTCTACTGACATGCCAGTACTCACCTTGTTTTCAGATTCCTGCTGATGTCTATTACTTGAGGGTATGAGTGGGGCTGACCACACCTAGATTTGCTCAGTGCAGGGCTCATGCCCAACTGTGCTGGTGGTAGAATCATGATGTGATGCTGAGGCTAGAACCCAATCAGTCACATGCAAATACATTTCACCTGCTTTCTTGAATTTTATTATTTGTTCATTATGGGGGTGGGATGGAGGTTTGGGCCACTGTTGGTGGTGCTCAGGGTTTTCTCCTGGCGGTTGTCAAGTATTCCTGGGACTGCAAGTCAAATGCCCTACCAGCTGTACTAGCGCTCCGGCCCCATGTATTTTTTTTAAGATTGTGTGCAAATTGCCTTTATATTTATTAGTTTCACATAAGCGTATTAATATGGATGTTTATTAATTTTTCTTTTCTTCCTCATCTGCGGCATCATCTACTGCAGGTCTAGCAGTTATCAACACCTTCCTTGTGAGTCTGTTCTGTGAGTGTGTGGCAGGCATCCACCCAGGGTCTTAGAACAAGGGACTATCATAGTTTTGGGGGGCTCCAATACTTGCAACGTAGTGCTGCTCAGTGCTGGGGGCACTTGGTCACTTGTGCCTTGCCAGGAATGCTCAGGGGCTACATCACGACCCATATGTGACCCTGGGAACTAAACTCAGGTTTCCACATGCCACGCATGGACACCAATTCTTTGAGATATATGGTCTGCGCTTCTGTTGTATTTCTTAAGGATTTAAAAAAAAAATTTTTTTTAGATCACCCCTCCCACTGCCCCCTCCTTGAACAGGCCCCTGCCCACGGCCCCGCTCAAGTTCAGGCCCCGCCCACTGCCTCCCCTCCCCGGGCTCACAGGCCATTCCGCCCACTGCCCGCCCGCCGCCTCGTGCGCAGGCCCCGCCCACTGCCCCCTCTCGCGTTCAAGCCCCGCCCACTGCTCCCCTCCAGGAGCCCCCCGCCCCCAACTCGGGTTCTCGGGCCACTCCGCCAGCCGCCCCCCCACCCCCCACCCCGCCTCGCGGCTAGTCCGCAGCCCCGCCCGCCGCGCCCCTGGCTCGCAAGCCAGTTCGCCCGCGGCCGCCCCGGTTAGCAGGCCAGTCGGCACGACGTTGTCCGGCCGCTGCAGTTGCTCCTGTGCGCCTGCGCCGCCGGAACCTTCGCGAAGGTTCCCGAAGCGGCGGCGGCCGTTTCCGGAAGCCTTCGGCGCGGAGGGCGCCCGAGGAGCTGCTGCCGCCGCCGCCGCCGTCCCGCAGTTCCGGTGCCTGCGCCCGCCCGTTACGGCAGAAACATGGCCCTGCTGTGCTACAACCGCGGCTGCGGCCAACGCTTCGACCCCGAGGCCAACTCGGACGGTGAGGGAGGCTGGCGCCCGCGCCCGCCCCGGGCCGGGAGCGCCAAGGCCGCCGGGGCCCGCCGCGCCGCCTCAGCGGGTCCCGGCGCCCATCGGCGCGCGGCCCCTGCTCGGCCGCCTCAGCCCGCTCGGGCTCCGGTCCGCGCGCGGCCCCCGCTCCGCCGCCTCCGCCCCGGCGCCGCCGCAGCCATCCCGGGCGGCTGGGGGACCGCGCGTGAGCGGGACGGAGTGCGCGGTGCCTGGGTGACGGGGGGTTGTTGATGAGTGAGTGGGGCGGGTGGTGTGCTTGGTGTCGGGGGTGCGTGTGTGTGTGGGGGGTGGGGGGCTGTTGTCTGAGTGGGGCGGCCGGGCGAGTGTGACCTGTGGTGGTGGGCTGCGGTGTGGTGCGTGTCTGCGGGGGGCGCGGTGTGGTGTGTGCCTGGGGGCTGTTTGATGAAAGTGGGTCGGGCGAGTAGGAGAGGTGGACGTGGTGGTTGTGTGGTTTGTGTGAGCGCGACTGGCGTGGGGGTGTGTGTACGGGAGACGGGGCAGCGTTCTCTTTCGGTATTTTGGTACCCTCGTGTTTTGATGCGTATGTATGTTGTGGCTTCCTGTTGTTTGAGTCCCTTTATAAGTGTCCGTTCTGTCTCTTGTGGCCTTTGTTGGCTATGTCTTTTATTTGATATAGTGGCTTTCTGTTTTTTTTTTTTTAATTCTTCATTTATTAGGGGCCGAGAGATAGTACACCGGGTAGAGCCCTTGGCCTTGAACATGGCCAGTCCAGGTTCAGCCCCCTGTGCCTTGTATCTTCCCCTGAGTCCTGAGCACAGCACAGCCAGGTATGGCCCCAAAACCAAAACCAAAAAAAAAAATTTTTTTTTTTCCATTTATTAGGCACCATTTGGTGACTCCAGAGCACTTGTATGTAGAGTGGCTGATTCTGTATGAGTGCTTGCCCAATCAGGCTGGATGGTCAGTGCTCGCTAGGCCTGAGCAGGCCGCTCCTCAGACCCTGTGCTGCTGGGGCCACTGCAGCAGCAGTACTTAGGATCTCTAGGGTCTCGTTAAACATTCATTTTTGCTCAGGGGCCTTCAGGCTATACCTGACTGTGCTAAGGGGTGAGTGCAATGCTGGAGACTGACCTAGGCCTTCTATACACAACCCTGACTGCTGTCTCCCCAACCCCTTTGTGTAATCTCCAGGCGGCTAGGAAAATCCCGAGGCGCGCTCTCACTGCCTGCGCTCAGTGGTCTGGGGCCTGGGGCCGCTGCTCCACCTGGGCCAACCAATGCCATGGGCAGATGAAAGGGGAAAATGAGGGGCAGACTGGTTGGCGATCAGTTCCCTACGCGCCTGTGCCAGTCTCACTAAGCTCCCCGTTCTAGTCTCCTGTCTCTCCCACTCGTCCCTCCCTCCGCTCATCTCTCCGGGCTCAGACTTGCTGCCTTGGTCTCTGATCTCTCCCCTCTTCCTGCATTGGAGGTAACACAGTCAACATATGAAAGCTCAAGTGGTCAACGGCAAAATACCACTTCCAGTGTTTCTTCTCTCCTTAGTCCAATAGCTTAATTAACATCTTAATTCTACTTCTTAATATTATTTTGTATGGACACAGTAAGGGATACCTTAAGTTTGTAGGGTGGCTCTCCTGGGGACAGCTCACTATAGATCTCAGACAACAGTGCTCAGGGCAGATTAATCTTTCTAAACTCTAGCAGGGTCCTAATCTAGTTGTTACTTTTTGGAACATGACAGAATTTGTCCATGACCATGCTCTTAACTTTTAATTATTATGGTACTTTGGCCAGGCCTATTTCAATGCCTGGATAGCTCACAGCTTGTCCTATGTCCATCCAGTCCCTCATTGGGACCCTGCTTTTGGGGTGCTAGGAAGTAAGGGCAACTGAGGCTTAAGTTGAGAGAACAGATGCTCAGGAGTAAATATTATTTGGAGCTAATTATATCCCAGGTTACAAAAGCATAGCATTAACTGTCTTCTTGTGTTCATACAAAAAGGACATTGCTCTGAATTAACTATGCAAAGGATTTAAAAAGAAGAGAAAAGCAATATTTACAAGTTAACAATCAGATTAGGAGATATAGAGTCAGATTAGGAGATGAAGGTGACTGATTCATTGAGGAAGCAGAGCACAAAGAGGTTACAAATAAACACAGGAATGGGAGCACCCTGATGGGAGTAACCCATTAAATCTAAGCTCCCTGTGGCAAGACAGAAAGTGCAAACCAGTGTTATCCTACATCCCTTGATCAGTGTTTTGTGAATTTTTTTTAAGTTCAATTATCTTTTCCTTACCACAGTTACAAATTTGGCCATGATTTGATTTCAATCATACGATGTTCCAATACCCACCCCTTCACTAGTGTACATTTCCTACCACCAATGTCCCCAGCTTCTTTTTATATGCCCCGGATATTTTTTTTCACAGTTCTCCTTCCATTTCCGTATCTTAATCTTTTAGTGCTTGTTGCCCTTGTTTACTTTCTTTATAAAGTCACATATCATTCTTAGTGTCTGTTTTATAAAACAATTTTCTCTCCTTCCAGTTCAGTCATATTTAGGTTTCTGTCTTCAAGCTTGCTGGTTTTTAAGTCTGTTTTCATAGTTTGTGTTGTACTCTTGGTCGCAGTGTTTCTTAAAGTGGGTGATGTCCTCTCCTTGGGGGCACTGGGATGATTGTGGGGATTGGGGAAATAGTGTAGCAGAAAATGTCCTCCAATTGCATTCTTAAGGTAGATACACAGGGGAACAGTATTTTTATTCGCAGTGGGGAGAGGGAGGGTTATCCAGAGTACTTTCTCTGTTGCCTTTCTTATTAGGCTCTCTGCCCATGTGGGTCACCTCAGCTCCTCAACTTTGGAATGTAGTTTGAATAGAAACCTGTCATTGCAGTCACTGCCTAACCCTAGAATACCTTCTCACATCCCAGCCCTGCCAGCTATTCAGTTTTGGTTATACAGATGCTTGGAGCTCCCTGGTCTCCTAATGCAATTTGTCTAGGGTCTCAGAGAGAGGTACATCAGCTTCACCTCTCCCTTGTGCTATAGGATTTGCTCCTCTAGGCCCCTTTCTGAATTGTTTATCTTGTCAAGAGCCAAATAATATTGTATTATCTTGGTGTGACAGTCATGGCCACGGTCCTCCCGTTGTTCATCGATTTGCTCGAGCGGGCCCAGTAACGTCTCCATCGTGAGACTTGTTGTTACTGTGTTTGGCATATCGAATACGTCACGAGGAGCTTGCCAGGCTCTGCCGTGCGTGCGAGATACTCTCGGTAGCTTGCCGGGCTCTCCGAGAGGGGTGGAGGAATTGAACTCGGGTCAGCCATGTTGGCTGCGTGCAAGGCAGACGCCCTACCGCTGTGCTATCGCTCCAGCCCTTGGTGTGACAATCTGATCTATTCAGTACGGTATTGCATAGGTACTTGTATTGAATTCTTAAGAAGTATTAACTACATTTGGAGAAAACATTCAATGTTAATACCTGAAGGAAAGCATAATTTTTTAAAAAAATTGTTGGGGGGCATAATACCCGGCGGTTCACAGAAGTTACTCCTGGCTCTGCACTCAGGAATTACTTCTGGTCGTGCTGAGGGGACCATATGGGATGCTGGGAATTGAACCCGGGTCGGCCGTGTGTGAGGCAAACGCCCTACCCACTGTGCTATTGCTCCAGCCCCCAGAAAACATAATTTTTATTATAAGACTTTTTCTTTTTTTAACCAGATGCTTGCACATACCACCCTGGTGTTCCAGTATTTCATGATGCACTAAAGGTAAGAACTTGTCTTATTTCTGTTTTTTCTTACCCATATAGTAAACTTAGAGGTGTAATACTGTCTTTGTCTTCTCATTTTTCTCATCAGCTTGTGTCTGTCCAGTTTTGTGTGGGGCCACACCTGCAGGTGCTCAGTGATTACTCCTGATTCTGCACTCAGGGAGACAGGGTGGCAGGGATAGAACTCTGGTTGAATGCTAGCAAGGCAAGCATCCTAGTCACTGTGCTATCTCTCTAGGCCCTTTCTTTCTTAATGACTACTTTTGGTGTTATTTATTTAGTCTTGGCGGCCATACCTGGCAGTGCTCAAGGCCTACTCTTGGCTCTTTGCTCAGGCTCTTTGCTCACGGCAGGCCTCAGGGAACTGTATGTGATGCTGATAATTGAACCTGGGGTAGTCACATGCAAGGCAAGTGCCTTACCCATGTACTATCACTCCAGCCCCCTATTTCTTGTGTTTTAAGTGGGCAGACTCCTCAGTAGGCAAAGACAGTAGCACTGTAGCACTGTCCTCCCTTTGTTTATCGATTTGCTTAAGCAGGCACCAGTAATGTCTCCATTGTGAGACTTGTTACTGTTTTTGACATATTGAGTACTCCCTGGGTAGCCTGCCAGGCTCTGCCATGCGGGCGGGATACTCTTGGTAGCTTGCTGGATTCTCTGAGAGGGATGGAGGAATCGAACCCAGGCCGGCCGTGTGCAGGGCAAACGCCCTACCCGTTGTGCTATTGCTCAGCCCAGGCAAAGATAGTAGTCACAAAACGATGTAATTTCTGTTTCTGCCCTAATTGTTTATATTCCTCATTTTTTTACTTGCCCATTGGTGGGGAAATTAAAATCAGTTGTATTGGATATTTTTGGGGGAAGGGACAACACATCCCATTGTTTCTCCTCAGGGGTTACTCCTGCTTTATGCTCAGGGATCACTCCTGACTTTTCTCAGGGAACCATATAGGATGCCTGGTATTGAACCTGGGTTGGCCGAGTGCAAAGCAAGTATCCTACCCACTGTTGATCGCTCTGGTCCCTTAATCTCTCATCCTGTATAAAAGAAGTTCCCTATTTTAGGAAAAACTGTCATAGACACCCACAGTGCCAATTTCAACCATACTTAAGCTTAAAGTAAGCTCTCAACAAAAAAAGAAACACTGGCAGTTTTATGCCTGTATTTTTTTTTTCATATTTGGCACATTAGAACATTGGGGTGGGTGTGTGTGTGTGTGTGTGTGTGTGTGTGTGTGTGTGTGTGTGTGTGTCTTTGGTAGGTTCTTTCATCTTTCACAGTTTTTCATGACAATACATTCTTCACTGTCTTAAAGTATTGCATTTTCCTGGAGTGCCATTCTAACTCTTCTCTGTTTACCAATTTCAGTAACCCTCCCTTGTGATTATTTTCCTCTTACCTTCTAGCCATAGGAATACCTCTCAGCCTTGGCCTTCCAGTTTCTCTAATTGCAGTTGATAAATTCCTATCCTTAGACATCACCTCTACACCAAAGGCTTCTGCAGCGTATCCCCATTTATAGCTCATTGGCAATAACAAACTAGCTTCTAAAGAAAACTATTCCAAAATTAGTTTGCCTTTCAACTCTGCTACCATGAGTTATGTTTTTCCACCATGGTGCTTAACTCCTTGTGACTGTTTTTTTTTTAAGGCAGTTTTATTAATTTTTTTTTCAGATAGTGCTAGTGATCAAACCCAGGAACTCACACATGCAAGGCAAGCACTCCCAGTACTGAGCCATAGCCCCAATGCCACAGTCATTCTTTACTATTTGTTAGTGGCCCAGTTAAGTAATCTTAATAGTTTTAAAGTTTAATGGTTTTAAAATCTTCCTTTTAACCATTCCTGCTGTTTGGAGTTTGGGGCCATACCCAAAGGTATTCATGGCTTGTTCCTAGCTCTGCACTCTTAGGAGGATCATACGTTAGAGGGGTCATAAGTTATGCCAGAGATCAAAAATGTCTTCCTGCTATGTAGCATATCCTATCCTGTAAACATTGATCAAACACTTAAACTTTGTATTAGACTTTTTAACCCAGTATGATTTCAGATAAAATATGTAAATTAACTAGTTGCCAGTTTCCTAGATTACCAGTTAAAAATTCAACACTTCTGTAACCAAAACGACATGCTAATATACAAATTAGGAGTATATTTAGAGAAAAGGACAGTTCTGAAGACCATTGATAACCTTCTATCCATATGCCTAAGTTTTTTCCTTCTCTTTCTCATCTTACAGCCAGAAATTCAGATTGACAGCCCCCCCCCCCCCCCCGTATTCTTTTTTGTTTTTTTGTTTTTTCTTTTTGCTTTTTGGGTCACACCCGGCGGTGCTCAGGGGTTACTCCTGGCTTTACACTCAGGAATCACTCCTGGCTCCTGGCGGTGCTCAGGGGACCATATGGGCCGAGGTCGGCCGTGTGCAAGACAAACGCCCTACCCACTGTGCTATTGCTCCAGCCCTCAGATTGACTTTTGGTAACAGCTAATCTGAGCCATAAGGGAGTTCATCATGTATAAATGAGACAGAATTGCTTTTTCTCATAGAGGATATATTTGCCAATGACTTCATTATTTATGCAAAGTAAACTCTATATTAGGTTGTAGTTATTAAGAGTAAAGTATGGTTATTGTTGAGAAACAAGTTACAGTGATTTTATTCAGAAATTAAATTAATATTAACATCTCTACTAGACTTTTTGTCTGTTTTGGGGTCATACCTAGTGATGCTCAGGGTTACTCTTGGTTCTCTGTTCAGCAATTACTCCTGGTAGTGCTCTGCGGGCCATATGAGATGCCAGGGATTGAGCCTGTATTGGCTGCATGTAGGTATCTGTTATACTGTTGCTCTGGCTTCTGCTAGACTGCTCAGACCCTTCACAATATAATGCTTTTAAAAATTGCAAGTTGAGAGGCCAAAGATTTAATGCCTTGCATGTGGCCAAACTGTGGTTTGATCCGTGGCCTCCTGTAGGTTTCCCCAAGAGGAGTGATAACTGAGCACAGCTGCTTATGGCCCACTCTCAATACCCCCGTCCCCCACCAAATAAATAGAAATTGCAAGTGTTTCTTGTGTGTGGCTCCCAAAATGGAAAAAAAAAATCAAGTGCTTTTCTTGAAATCTACATATTTTGTACACAGATGTAAAGATTAGATAAATACAAGCTGCTTCCTTGTTTAAGGAGATCTGTGGAGTGTTCAGATGTTGTGGTTCTTATCAGTTTTCTTTTGTTTCTTGTTTCACAGGGTTGGTCTTGCTGTAAACGAAGAACAACGGATTTTTCTGATTTTTTAAGTATTGTAGTAAGTATTGCCTTTTTTTCTCTAGATCTTCTCTTGAGATGTATTATGGGCACCTCAGATTTGAGGGGTTTAGTTTGGATATCAGCTAGTCTTCATTAACTTGTAGATTATACTTTTTAAAATGGGGTTCAGGGACCTAAGAGATTGTACTGAGGGTAAGGTACTTGCCTTGCATGCAATCAACATGGTTTTGATCTCTGGAACTCCATATGGACCTTCAGGTCTCTCCAGGAGAGATCTGAGTATTGAGCTGGGACTAAGACCTAGGCACCTCTGGGTGTGGCTCAAAACCCAAAACTAGGAGGGGTGTGGGTGGGGTCTTGCCTCTCTGCTTTCTATAACTTTTAAAATACAGAATTTATTTGTTTCAGAGATTAAATTTGGGAGATATTAACTCCCAAGTTTACCCATTTGTCAGTTCAGGCTTGATCAGGAATATGTGGAAGCAGAAAGTAGGGAAACAAACTAACAGCGTTTTTATTGAAGTATTGTGGTGGTGGTGCATTGTTAGTTTTTGCAACTTTAAGAAAACAAAGGTTATTAAGTAAATCACATGTCATTGTTCTTTTGTACATTTTAAAATGTATAAGTCAGTGAGATTTGGAAGTAGTTACCCTTTTTTGAATGTTTACCATGTGCCAGATGTGCGAAATATTGTTTTTATATAAAGTCCTTTCAAAAAAATAAATCACATGCCGTTACCTTCACTGTACTGAAGTTTTAAAAGATTAATTGGTTAATTAGGGACCTGAGAACACAAAGGTCTGTAGCGTGTATGTGTTATACATGAGCTCCAGTGTTGTGTCTGGCACAACATGTACCTTTTGACCCCCACCCTCTCCATCTCTAATACCTTCATGTCAGAGCCCTGGTGCCCCTGTCACCAAACAGCTAGACTGGGTATCATCAGGAGTGGTCCTTGGAAAGAAAAAAAAGAAAAAAAATTGTAATAAGCAAACATAATTTGTCCAAGGTTGTAGATAGTCGGAGAACTAGAGCTCAAATTGATGACATATTTTGTTTTTGTGTTTTGGGCCACATGCACGGGTGCTCAGGCAGCACTCCTGGTGGCCTCGGGAGACAATATGGGGAGCTAGGGATTGAAAACCCCAGGTTGGGTGCATGCAAGGCAAACACCCTACTTGATGTACTACTGCTTCAACCCTGATGACAGTTTTTGACCCAAAAAAACTCTCAGGCCTCTCCCCCTCAAATCCTCAGTCAACCTTATTGGTAGGTTCAGTGTGAAGATGCCATGCTTGTAATGTGAGGGGTTGCTCAAACCACCCCAGCAGTGCTTGTGGCCCTCTGAAACTACATTCAACAATACTCAGTCTGGGTGGTGTTAGGGATAGAAGCAGAGTCAAGTCACATGCAAAGCATGCACCTTCATGCTGTACACAAGTTCTGGCTCTTTGAGCAAAAGATCTAGATCTATAACTTAAGAGAATTTATTTGATGACTGGGAGTTCACAAAATATGTGGGGGATGCTGCGTGACATGTGTATTTAGTGGCTAAGAGCTGCTTCCTGTCCTCCCAGTCCTCCCTGGCAGAGAGACAGAGAGACGGGGGATCACAGCCTGGTGGTGAAAATGGCCCATTTAATGCAGAGCCGCTGGTATACTTATAGAACATCTGAAGGGGGTTGAGGTATAGGACCTAGTTGTGATTGATCATTTATAAAGCTAAAGCATTTGGCAAAAGCAATTCTCATGGGGAGATTAACTCAAGGAGACACTCTTCCAGGGACATCTACATTGCTTTTGTCTTTCCTTCTAGTTGTATATGTTAAACAATTAAGTTTATTTCTTATCAGTACTTGTTTAATATACTTGTTTGGATTAACAAAGTAAGAGATAAAGATCCCAAAATTTAGTACTCTGGGCTCTGATAACAAGCAAAGCTTTTAGCATAAATCCCAGACCAAGTTTCCTCAGGCCAGTTCAGCTTGTCCTTCCCCATGAGGGGTCCTGTCTCTTAAGTTGTAACAGATTGCATCAAAACCTTGCATTTATGCTTTCTAGACTGTCCCATTTCAATGCCAGGGTAGCTTTACCACTCTCCCCGGCTCCATCCCAGTCCCACGGCGGGAACTTTTGGGGTGTTAGGAACTACAGTGACTGAAGCCTGAGTCAGGTAATTATGGCCAATGCCCAGGAGTAGGTATATTTCAGAATCAGTCAACTCCCAAATATTAGAAGCATAGCATTAACGGTCTTTCTGTGTTTAACCAAAGAACATTGCTCTATAGTAAAATATAAAAAGATTATAGTGGAAATAGAAAAGCAGGTACAAATACAGAGCCCTTCAAATACAAAGCACTACAAATACAAAGTCCAGAATTTCCAGAAAGTTTTGGCTTATAAGTAATCAAGACTAACTTGGAAAACTGAGACAATGAGAGGTAAAACATAGAAGAAAGGTTAAAGATAAACTTGAACTGAATTCGGGATGCTAGCAAGAGCGCGGTAAGTTTCTCTGGGACGAGGAAAATGGGCAACTTACAGATAAAGCCTAAAACACTTAGGGTTAATATCCAACAATGAGTTCTCCACAATTTGTTTCGGTTAGTTTATGTTACTTTGTTTCATGGAATAAGTTTAGTAGACATTTTTGAAGCATAATTCAAAGACATGCATTATTTATTATATGAGAACTCGTATACAAATACAGCAAATTCAGAGTCTTGTTTCTATTTTCTTAAATGAGTTTAATAGAAGTGGACAAAACATACTGAGAAAATAGGATTGCTCAATAGAGATTTGTACCTCAGTATATGTGAATTAAATGATAGGCTATCTCACAATGCATGTGTTTTACCCACAGGGCTGTACCAAAGGTAGGCATAACAGTGAGAAGCCACCAGAGCCAGTCAAACCTGAAGTGAAGACTACGGAGAAGAAAGAACTGTCTGAATTAAAACCCAAATTTCAGGAGCACATCATTCAAGCTCCTAAGCCAGTAGAAGCAATAAAAAGGCCTAGGTACACTTTTAATAGTTACTCACTCTTAAGGAATAGCATTTGCGTCTATTTCATACATGGTTTTGCATGATACCAGTGTTAGCAACTGAGGATACCTGTTATTGAGCCATTTGTTTTTCCTTCTGTATGCCTTTTCATTTTTTTTCAGATGCCTGAAAATTGTTAGTCTCTTTTTACTAATGAAGTTTTGCTTTTTGTTTCGTTTTTTGGGTCTCACACACTGGTGCTCAGGGCTGACACTTGGCTCTGCACTCAGGGATCACTCCTGGTGCTCAGGGGACCCTGTGAGGTGTTGGGCACCACACCGTAGTTAGCCACATTGCAAGGCAAGAGCCCATCTGTTCTTCCTCTCTGGCCCGTTGATTGATAAAATTTTAATGTATTTGATTTAGATGGCACATTTGTTAAAGTGTTTGTTAATTACCTATTGCTTGTATTATAGTAGAATCACATAGCTACTTAGTAATCACCTTCCTGATTAGACTTTTACTTCATTTTCCACATGCATGCTGGGCACTTCTGTTATACCAGGTCTTCTTTCTATTGGCCTTGAGTACTAAACTGTTTTATAATCAAAATACTGGACTTGAATATTCATCAGATGGTTTAGGGACCTTCAAAGGACCCATGTTATTTCATGGTTTTCCTGGGGGTTTTTTTTTGGTTTGATTTGTTTTTAACTGGGCTGGAGCAATAGCACAGCGGTAGGGCGTTTTCCTTGTATGCAGCCAACATGGCCGACTTGAGTTCGATTCCTCCGCCCCTCTCGGAGAGCCCGGCAAGCTACCGAGAGTATCTCGCTCGCATGGCAGAGCCTGGCAAGCTACCCGTGATGTATTTGATATGCCAAACACAGTAACAACAAAGTCTCCAGTGGAGACGTTACTGGGCCCGCTCGAGCAAATTGATGAACAACGGGAGGACAGTGACAGGTTTGATTTGTTTTTAACTAATCTTAAATTTATGGTTTATTAAATAATGGTGAAGGAGATCAAGATAAGAGCCTAAGAGATTTTTTTTGAGTTTGTCTCCTTTAAAGAATACATTTAAAATGATTTTTGTCCCAATTCTACCTTGTTTTATAATCAGGAGACTTTATCAAATGCCTTGGTAACGGATTTGCCATTTTATAACAAAAGCCAGAAAAAAATTATAAAACTGGTATTAGAATCTGATATACTTGATAGTATGAGTTAATGTTTTCTTTAAGTAATCTTTAATTATTTTCTTCATAATATTGATTTTATTTATGAACATGAGGGAAGGTCTGGAGACATAACTAGCATCAGAAGAAAACTTGCTTGCTTAAGTTTGTAAGGTCCAGGCTTCCCTCAACACCAGGAAAATAAAATTAAGAAAGTGAAGGAAGTCAAGTATGTTACCCTAAAATGAGGTGGCACTGTGGAGTTGTGAAGACTTGTTTTTATTTTGGTCTTAAACAGATGATGCAGTCATTATGAAATAGCAGGGGCTGTCATTATTCCTCCTTTTTGGGGGATTGGGGGTATCACACCTGGCAATGCTCAGAGGTTACTCCTGACTTCGCACTCAGGAAATACTCCTGGAATTGCTCAGGGAACCATATGGGATGTCAGGGATCAAAGCTGGGTTGGCTACATGGAAGTCAAACACCATACCCGTTAAACTATTGCTCTGGTCCCTCTTCCTACTCTTTTAAGAGAGTCTTTTAAGTTTATAGGTATATATACAAAATCTTGTAGCAAATATTTTCTTAGTAATTATTTATTGCCTATTTATGATAAACTCGGTTTTCTTTGACCATCCAATGTAATAGTTGTATGTGGGGCAGAGAGTATAGCAGATAAGGTGTTTGCCTTTCATGTGGCTGACCTGGGTTTGATCTCCTGCATCCAATGTGGACCCCCAGCACTGCCTAAACTAAATACTCAGAATTGCTGGGTATGGCCCATAACCCCTCCACCACACACACCCACACTGTTGTACGTGGTTCCATTAAATTGCAATTGCACTTCATGAATGAAGATTTCTAGAGTTATTGTTAATACTGATGATTTCATAGTTTACTGTGTTGATAATAGATAATTTGATATTTAGCACCTTAAAAACCTTAATGTTGCTCTATTAAAACAGTTCCCTGGAAATACTTTCTAATAGGAAAAACTTGGCTTTTCATAAATCAACTCTTAATTATAATACGTTTGATTTGATGAATTATTTTGGTATATCATTGCTGGTTTTAAAATTTCAAAATTCTCCAGCCCAGATGAACCAATGACAAATCTGGAATTTAAAATATCTGCCTCCTTAAAGCAAGCACTTGACAAACTTAAGCTGTCGTCAGGGAATGAAGACGAGAAGAAAGGTAAGGTATTTTATATTTTATAATATATCTGTTCAATTAACCTATCATTGATAAGGGAGAGAACAGGCCAGAGAGATAGTATAGCGGTACGACACTTGCCTTGCATATGACTGACCTTGGTTTGATCCCCAGTATCATTCTGGTCTGCCAGTCCCCACCAGAAGTGATTCCTGATTGCAGAGCCAGGAGTAAACCATGAACAGTGTAGGTTATTTCTGGAGCGATAGCAACTACCCCAAAACCCAAAAAAATCCAAAAGCAGATTTTGAAGAGAGAGGAGGATAGTTGGATAGTTTACTAATAAAAATACGAAAAACACATTTCAGTATAAAACTTTTTTTAGTAGCACAGAATGAAAAAATGGTCATTGTGTTCTGATTAGAAAGAACAAAACTAATGAAAGTCCTTTTAGTCTGATTAATTCCTTGTTAAAAGTTCGGTTTCTTTGATTATATTTTATTGTTTGTAATATAATATGTATTCAGTATTCTCTGAACTAAGCCTGACACTATGAAAGGATAGCACTCTTTTGAGATTTCTTCTGTATATGGTTAAGATGGTGGATAAGGAATAGAATTAGAGGGGCTGGAGAAATAGTACAGGGGGTAGAGTGTTTGCCTTACATGTGGCCAATGCGGATTAGATCCATGGCACCTTATGTGGTCCTGCAAACCCACTAGGAATGACCCTGAGTGCAGTGGCAGGAGTAATCCTTTAGCCTTAGCCCAACCAGGTGTGAACACCCTGTTGCCCAAAACCAAGAAAAAACTCCAATAGCATAAAACAAAGTAATATGTCATTTTGCGATATAATTGTACATATGTTTTAGAATATCACAGTAGTTAACTTACTAATGTTTAAAATGTATTGCCTGAAAGTTCTCTTGGAAAACACAATAACTTAAAATTAGAGTTTTCCTGTTTGTTTGATTTGGGTATTTATGTTAATTAGTTAAAGTTGTTTTATGGAAAAGATGAAAATCTGCATCCAGGTGAAGAGCTACTTCCAGTGGTGGTTGAGGGGATTGCAGGGCTAGACAGAGATTGTATTTCAGTCATCTCCACCAGCATAAAATGATTACTTTTTTAAAAAGGCACTACAGTAAAATGTTCTAAGCCAATGTTTTAAGTTGATTTTTTTGTTGTTACTATTTCAGAAGAAGACAGTGATGAAATTAAGGTTGGGACCTCGTGTAAAAATTCAGGGTGTTCAAAGGTATGCATTTTGTAAAATTTATGTTGTGTCGTGGAAGCAATGTTTTATTTTTTTATTATAATGCTGTGATTTACCAGGTTTTTCATAATACAGTTGTTTTAGCATTAAATGTTCCAACACCAATCCTGCCACCAGTCCCCCTTCTGGTGTGACCTTCCCTCCCCCAATTTCCCACCCACCACCCCAGCCTGCCATTGGCAGGCACAAAGTTACTTCATATTGCTTGTTACAACACAAAGGCAGATAGAATTATCAAAACTTGGATCAGTAAAAGTCAGTTTGTGATAATTGTATCTCACATTGATGTAAAGTCTTCATGTGAGAATCTGCTTTGCTGCTGGTCAGTGCTAGTTGAGCCCTCTCCATTATTGTTTAGGCTCATTGAGCTTGGTGGTCTTCTATGAATTTCCTGTTATATTTGTTGTGCTCCTGTTGGACTGACAGTACTACAAAATTTAAAGGTTTTGCATCATTGCTGTCCAGGAACTATATACTTGGATCAGTTTGGTTCATTTGTGGAGCTGGGCCACTTCTGTGTTGGATAATCAGGTGTGGATATCAGGTGTGGCTGCAGACCTCTGTGCCTTCAGACCGAAATGAGAATCTGCCTGTCCCTGTTCTGAGAAGGCCCCAGAATTCTCAGCCTAGACCAGTTTACCTGGGAAGATTCAGCAGATATGCTCTTACGGAGATGTGGCACACGCCATTTCTCTGCTGCCAAGATGGCAGGTGTTCACAAGTTTCTAATTTGGAAAAAAGGAGTTCAATTTACTGATGCACTTCAGCAAAAGTTTGGTTGTCTGTTGTCTGCCAAGTAGTTTGTCATTGACCGTACTGTGAACTTTGATAAAAGAATATCTTTGGGGTGCATATATCTGATAGAAACAAGAGAACATTTAAATCTCAGCATTTACAGAAAACAGACTGTGCTAGGCGTTGTTTTAAAGCAGAACACCTGATCTTCTGTTGCTTATAATCTAGTTTGGGGAGAAGAACAGCATATTGTCGGTCAAAACATGATTTGGGGGCAGGAGCAATACTATGATAGGAAGGGCTGTGCGTGGCTGACGAGGGTTCGTTCCCCAGCATTCCATATGGTTCCTTTAGTACCACCAGGAGTAATTCCTGAGTGCAGAGCCAGGAGTAGCCCTGAGCATCGCTGGGTGTGACCCAAAAAGCCAAAAAAAAGTATGATTTTTGGTTAGATAAAGCAGATAGGGAGACACAGTGATTCAAGCTGATGAGATGAAAATGAATCAGGTGAATTATGTCTAACTTGGAGTTGATGTGGACTTACATGTGTAAGTTTGAGAAAGGTTTGTATGGCTTGGTACATGGAATGAAAGCAAGAGCAAGACTAAATTTTGGAGCTACTCACAGCCATTATCTGATTCAAGTAGTGTATTTTTTTATTATTTGACACAAATAATTTTTTTAATTGAATCATTGTGAATTACAAAGTTACAAAGATGTTTATGATTGAGTTTCAGGTGTATATTGTTTCAACGCCAGTCCTTTGACCAGTGCCTACTACCCTCCACCTGTACCCCTAGTTTCCCTCACCCCCAGCCTGCCTCTGGCCTCTGTGGCAGGCACTTTTTCCTGCTCCCCCTTTGTCCTAGTGTTCCCTTCCATTCCTTATCCCCTTCACCCCTGCCCCAATGCCAGGCTTCCTACTGAAGACCACTTTTCCTACTCTTTTCACCTGTTCACCTGTTCCTTACTTTACACATTTATTTTGCTTATGATTTCTCTCTTCTAACTTTCTCATGCTTCCTGTCATGAAAAGTTTTTGAGCATAGAATTTTGTATCTTTTAAACTGTATTGTGTCTTGTACTTGGTACATGGCAAATACATGTAGAATGAATGCTATTTAGAAGTCTTGGCAGGAGGTTCGGATGAACTGAAAGAAAAGGGGGCTTGTGATTTAAGCATCGAGGTGATTGATGACACCATTAAAAAAGGAGATTGGAGGAAAGTGGGATGTAGTTTTGCCTAATGTTGCACTTATGTTCTCCTTTTTTTTCAAATAGAAACTGTAACTTATAGCTACTATTAATTCTTTCTCATGCACATAAGTCCAACACCACACCCATCACCAGTGTTCCCATCTCCCACACCTAAGGACCCAAGATACCTCCCTCCCATCTCTCCCCTTCCCCCCACTCCATCTCAGTTGTGGATCAGTTTCCCAAGGAGCCACCGTGTGAAATGTTGTCATTTATTTATTTTTTGGTGTTTAATTGGATCTCTGCAACACATACACATTTACAAAAGTTGTTCATGGTTGAGTTTCTGTCAGACAATGTTCCAACACCATCCGTTCAGCAAACTTTTCTGAAAAGTTAGGGAATCTTTGGGAATCTTTTCATCTAGAAGTGCTTTTGAATATCTAAGCCTGCTGGACTTGACATTGTATAAGGTATGACGTAGAAATATTTAGCGGACTTTAAGAGATGCAGCCCCCTTTTTTTTAATGTAGGAGTATTGCTATTTATTCAGCCATTGATTAGGCTGATTGAATTGGGCATGAACTCCAACTTACCTTTTTTTTTCTTTTTTATAATTTTTGTTCCAGCGGGCCCAGTAATGTCTCCATTGGAGACTTTGTTGTTACTGTGTTATAATTTTATTTATTGAATCACCATGAGGGCAGTTACAAAACTTTCGGGTTTGTACCTTCACCGGTGCCCATTCGCCACCACCATAAACCCCAGGATACCCCCATCCCACATACTCCCCCTACCTGTGGGGCAGATGATTTCCACATTACTCTCTCTCTCTACTTTGATTACATTCAATATTTCAACACCAGACCCACCATTATTATTTGGGATTTTACCCCAACAGTCAGATCTGCTGAAAACGCAACAGTAGACAATTTGTTTTCTATTGCTGGTTATGAATAACATATGATGTTGCTCGGCCACAGTAGTGGTCACACGATTTTGGATTTCTGAAATTTTAACAATTAAATCTGGAGGAATTGCTGTCAAAATCTGCTGGATTCCAAGATTTGTTCCTGAGTCTCTTGGATCATGGCTGCTAAGCAGCTTGATCAGGAGCCAGAGAGGCCATTCATCAGTGGCAACTCGGGATCTCGCTGGGGTGGGGAGGAAAGGGCCAGCTCCACTCCCATCCCGTGAGGCCCCACGCGTCTTATCACTGAGTGCCCAATTCAGACAATCCAATGACCTGGAAGATGGTGGCCACTGAGCCGCCGAGGGGGAGTAGGCGGAGGGACAGTATGCTTCCCCCCCGGCGTGGCCCGGCGACAGTAACGTACTGCAGGTACTGGATGCATTTTTGCCTAAAGCTGCTGGGTTCTGAGATTTGTTTCTGAGTCTCTTGGATCACGACCATTAAGCAACTTGATCAGGAGTGAGAGAGGCCGACTGGACTTGTCATCAAGTTGGGAGGAGGCCTAAGGAGGTTGTGTAGTAGTAGGATAGATTTAGAATCTCTTACATGCTTCGAGAATATCTTTGGGGAATACGTCACCTGTATTTAAAACTCAGAAAAAAGGAAACCTATGGAAATTTATTGTCTGTACTTGGAGATAGTTGTTTTAAAATCCAAATCAAAGACATTCTACCACTATCTTTATCTGTGTTGTTGGCATAAGGTTTCATGAATTTATCTGTCAATACTTCAACTGTAGCCATGATGAATATGCAGCTCATCTTACCTTTCCCAGGGAGAAGAAGTCATCCAGAAATTTAGGAATCCCAGAAATAAGCACATACAAAAAGGAATCCCTTTTCATTCCTTATTAGAATGTCTGGGGTGAACTGGATATGTTAGATAATATTATCTGAATATTTTTGTAGTTTACAGATGCTTAGTGACAATTATGTGTTAATGCTGAGATGTGTCACTTATTTTTTCTTTTTTTCGTTTAGACATATCAGGGCCTACAGAGTCTGGAAGAAGTCTGTGTGTATCACTCTGGAGTACCTATTTTTCATGAAGGGTAATTTATGCATGGCTCAGATGTTATGGTAGAGGTTAAAAAAGCCAATTCATATGTCTTTAGGGATTATTTACCACATTATTAGGTATTTTATTTTGGATGGCCACCTACAAGTATAAGCTTTGTCCTTTCGTTTGTTTTATTTTGGGGCCACACCTGGCAGTGATCAGGCATTACTCCTGGCTGTGCAGGAGACCATATGGGATGTTGGAGATTGAAACCTTTGTCGGCAATGTGCAAGGGCAAGTGCCCTACCCGCTGTACCTTCACTCTGGCCCCCAAGCCTTGTCTTTTTAAAATATATTTTGTGTGGTCCACATCCCATGATGCTTAGGACTTATTCCTGGTTCTGTGCTCAGGGCATCATTCCTAGTGGTACATGGCAGACTCTGTGGAGTTCCACAGATCCAATCTTGGTTGGCCGCATGCAAGCCAAAAGCCCCAAATTGTACTTTGTCTCTCCACACCAGTATGAAACTAAAAGATTATAGTTGAAGATTCTTGTAAGAGAGTACAGTGGGTTGGGCACTTGTTCTGCACACTGCTGAACCAGGTTTGATCCCTGGTACTCCACAGGGTCCCCTGAGCCCCACAGAAATGAGTTAAGTTTATAGGTAAGGCCATTTTTTTTGCCACATCAGATAGCTTTCCGGTTTAAAGATTAAACATCATATTTTTTCTTACAAAACTTATATACAATTTTGGTAGGGTTTGGGGGATAACCACACTTAGTGTTTCTTGAACACTACCCTGGGGTAATCTCACCTTGGTTTCCTGCCTGCTAAACATAGTAGTCTCTCCCTTGCATGGCAATGCCATCCTGGGAGCCACCCAGTGCATAGTCCTGACCATGTGTTACAGGAAATTGAACTGGAGTTTTCTACAGGCAAGGCACATATCCAGCCCTTTGAGCTATCTCCTGGCTGGAGTGTATTATTTAAAGTACTACCCTATGCATTGTAGGGTCTTGTCAGTGTTTGTCGTGTGGCACTGAGAGCCGCAGTGCAGCAACTAGGAAGTGACTTTCTCTTCCTGAACTTCATCAAGGAGCCTGTCCTCAACTGGACTGCCTCACTACCATGCTATCAGGAGGCAGCATCCTCCTGATACCAAATATCTCTTGTCATAGTCATCAGGACCGGCCTGAAGTTTTATGTACCAGAGGAGTCTTATATATCTTCCTCGTGGTAAATTTTTCTTCAGTAATAGTAGGTTTCTACTATTTTGGGACTCACCATTTCACATTTGTATAAATATTAATTTTTAGTTTGTGTATTCTTTCTTGCATTTCTGAAATATGAGAACTGTCATCTTTGTATTGCTGTGTTAACTTCATGGGAAAATGGGATTGTGAATAGTCATTGTAAAGCTGATTTGGCATTTTGTGATGATTTATGAATGTCTTGACATATGAGCTCCAGAATTTCCACATCAGATAGCTTTCTGGTTTAAAGATTAGACATTTATAAGGTACAAGAGCAGCAATCAATTATTTTTTAAAATCATAATGATCATACTATTTCTGAACTTGATCAATTTGAGACTTCTGAAATTTCCTATACTAATTTAAAGGATGAAATACTGGAGCTGTTGTAGAAGAAAAACTTCTGATTTTAATACATTCTTAGCCCAGGAGGGCTGTACAACAGGCAAACACGTGTGGACTAAAAAGGATGCTGTAAGTAGCCTTTTCTGAATTACTGAGACCAGAGTCATTTTTAAAAGATTGGAGATTGTGTTCTCATTGAATAAAAAAGAAAGGTTTTATTCTTATTCAGTTTTTAATGGGCTGTCAGACTGAAGACTGAATCTGTGGCTCTGGAGAAGCCATGTAAGCAAAGCAACCCATCACACAGGTTTGTGCGCATATGTGTTTTTTTTTGTGAAACATGTGAACCTGTCCAAATCTAAAGCATTCAATATAATTATGTGGCCTGTTCCATTTTTTTTTTGCTTTTACAAACAACTTTTCTACTGATTTGCTGATTATTAAACATTCAGACCTCGGATTTTTACTTAACTTTGCAACTTTCTTCAGCCTTTTACAGATCTACAGATATTAGTGAACAAAAGGAAGAATTGGAACTTGTAACAGTGGGGTGGTTTTGAGTGCTCTGCTTGCTACAGAGATAGTAATCAGCAAACATAAGCAATGACTAGTTTCCATTTTCCTGGACACCTTTTTAAAAAGACTTGTGGGTGGGAGCTGGATCGATAGCACAGCGGGCATGGCGTTTACCTGGGTTCAATCCCCAGCATCCCATATGGTCCCCTGAGCACTGCCAGGATTAATTTCTGAGTGCAGAGCCAGGAGTAACTCCTGTGCATCGCTGGGTGTGACCCAAAAAGCAAAAAATAAAAAAATAATAAAAAGACTTGTGACTGTGCCAGTGACTCCTCATGATCTCCTTAAATAGTTGGAAGGCAAGCAATTTGTTGCTAAGTAAATGTTTGTTTGTTAGCTATTGTTTGTGTGAATTTTTGATTTTTTTTTTTTTTTTTTTTGCCTTTTGGGTCACACCTGGTGATGAACTGCACAGGGGTTATTCATGGCTCATGCACTCGGGAATTACTCCTGGCAGTGCTCAGGAGCCCAATGGGATGCTGGGAATCGAACCTGGGTCGGCTGCGTGCAAGGCAAATGCCCTACCTGCTGTGCTATCTCACTCCAGTCCCTCCCCCCCCCCATTTTTTTTGTGAGGTGGGAACATCTTACGAAATGCTCAGGTATCACTCCTGACCATGCTTGGGGGACCCATATCGGGTGCCAGGGACCAAACCTGGGTTAGGTGTGTGCAAGGCAAGTACCTTAAGTATTATAATATTGCCCGGGCTCCCCATTCCTTATTTATTTATTGGTTTCATTTTTGTCTTGGGATCCCAGCTAGGTGTGCCCTGGTAGTGCTCTGTGGACCATCTGTAGTGGTGGGGATTTAACTAGAGTCAGCCATTTGCAAAGCAAGCACCTTTAACCCCTGTATTTTCTCTCTTGCCCCTGTAATCAGTTTTCTGTGCTCTATTAGCACTAGTAACCACAGTCTGTATTTTATATCTTGCAACTTAAAAAGTAATAGTAAAGTTTTACGTTTGAGTACTCTGTAAAATCTGCTTTTTTATTAAATTCGGTTGGGATTGAAACTGTATCCTAGTTACTTGTCAACCACCATACAACTACCAAGGAAAGATTCGTTAGTAAAGAGTGAAGTTTTCTTGTATTTTTTCCAATGTCCAAAGTTTGGAAAGTATAGTTTGAGAATTTAAAACATTTTATATGCAAAAGTTTACCGAGCATAATGCTTATGAAATGTTTTTGTTACTTTTCAGTACATGTAGTTATCAAGTGTTAAGTGTCAAAGCTGATGTCTAAGGGAAGAAAAATGTGAGTGATATGCATTAATTAATATAATTATATTAAAATGTATATGTATTTTACAACGGCAGTGTCTTAGTTTCCTGAAATTGTTATTAACTCCTTCATTTATTGAAGAAACATCAGCACTCATTTATTGAAAAAACATCTCTTCATTTAAAAGAAATATAAATAAGCCAGGGATTGTACTGAAGTGGTAGATAGAGCACATGCCTAGCATATATGAGGCCATTAGTTCCCTGTACCCTATGTCTAACACTGCTAGGTATGGCCGTGGTCTTCTCAGGAAAAAATAGTTACTGATACAGCAGTAGGTCACTGTTAAGTAAAAATATTTCCATCATAGTAATTAAAAGGCTAATCCCCACTTTTTACTTGCTTGGTATTAGGTGAGAAAATTTATTATTCATTAGCAGCAGATAATTTTAAGTAGTTATTTCCTCACAGTTTGATTTGCATAAGATATTCTATCATGAGATGAAGATAGGACCTGGTGGATTCTACAAAGCCAATATGTTTCTCACTTTAGTTTTTAAAGTTTGTTTTTATGGGGTTGGAGAGCTAGCTCAGTGGGCTGGAGCACATACTCTGCATGCAGGTATACCGGAAGGCTGATTTGCTCCCCGACATCTCGTGGAACCCTGAGCCACCACCAGGAGTTACTCCCTTGCACTAAGCAGGGAGTAGACCCCAAGCACTGCCAAAAATTTCGAAAATAGTATGTTTAAGTGTAGTAACTTACACTATTTTTTTAGTGTATATAAGGTAATAAGTAAAATAAAAGGAATAAACATGTTCTCAAAACATGAGACTTCATTTTTTATAGGAGTGCTCTCAGGCATCTGTCAGGTGGCTGGTGGGTGTGGTTGGAGGGCAGTTCCAGCAGCAAAGCAGACCAAGCTTCTCATTGCTAGGGCCCAGCAGTGCTTGGTGGCTCCAGGTGATACTTGTGCTGAGTGTGGGAAAAGGCATGTGGTGGGTAGGTGTTATTGAACTTAGTTCCTCGCACATGCAAGGTATGCACCCCTATCAGCTTGAGTTATCTTCTTAGCTTCAACTGTAAAAATTCTTGATTTATGTTACAGTTCATTGTCTAAATTTCTGTTCAAAATTTTAGAAGTTGTTTGCTCTTGAATTTTTTTTTTAAATTTAAACATTCAGTTTTGCATAGTCATTTATTCTTTGGTAAGTCTGATTTTTTTCTGTGGCATTTTGAAACTTTAAATAATAGTATGTGTATATTACAGGGGAAAAAAGTGGTTCCATGTAGACATGACTGGCATCAGACTGGAGGTGAAGTCACCATTTCAGTTTATGCTAAAAATTCGCTTCCAGAACTTAGTCAAGTAGAAGCAAATAGCACATTGGTAAGTACATTTAATGTCTTTGATGCCAAAGAGATAGTACAGCAGATAAGTGTTTTTCTTGTACATGGTGACCGAGGTTCAATATCTAGTAATATCCCTTAGGGGTTCCCCCAGTCCCACCAAGGGTGATCCTTTAGTGCAGTGCCAGGAGTAAGCTCTTAGCACTTAGCAGTGTGGCCCAGAAATCTCCCCTCCCCCAAGAATTTCATTACACATTACATTAATGTTTTATATAAGGTACTTTTCTTTGAGTTAATTTTTATATCCCTTTTAGTCTTCTAAAAAATAGTCTTTAAAAAATAGTCAAAAAATCTTTTTTTACAGAATTTCTTTTATATGAAAATATCTGCATGATAGAGTATCTGGAATACTAATGTAGCTTAAAGCTGTATTAGATAATGTAATACCCAGTCTGAAACTTGAAGTTAGTTTTTCTTGTAATTGTTTTCTTGTACAAAATGAAATAGCTAGAATTATTTTCTCAGTATGTCTGATGTGTATAATCATTGTTTTATGTTCACAACCTTCACTCTGAATTGATCAATGAATCTACTGTCTCTTACAGTTAAACGTGCACATTGTATTTGAAGGAGAGAAGGAATTTCATCAAAATGTGAAATTATGGGGTGTAAGTACTATGAAACCAACAGAGCCCTCTTCACCATTTAAAACCCTTTGTACAGAAAAGGCAGTGCTTCATTTAGTATTGATGCAAAGTAGGGTGTATGTAACTGACCATTATATCATACCAAAAAATTTAAAGCTAGATATGAAAATGACTGTATTAGTGGTTAAAGATTCAGTATAGCAGGTAAGGCGTTTTGCCTTCCATGCTGACCTGGGTTCTATCCCCTGCGCACCACATCATCCCTAAGTCCTGCCAGGAATTCTGAACCAGGAGTAAACCCTGAGCATGACAGGTGGGGCCCAAAACAAAACGGAACTACCCAGATTTACTTTTTTTTTTCTCCAACAGGTGATTGATGTAAAGCGAAGTTATGTAACTATGACTGCCACAAAAATCGAGATCACCATGAGAAAAGCTGAACCTATGCAGTGGGCAAGCCTCGAACTGCCTGCAGCCAAAATGCGGGAAAAACAAGAGGATAGAACAAAATAATTCCGCATTTTTTGCCTATTTCAGAATCCTTACTATATGGTGAAATGGTAGCTTGCTGCTGTACTCTATTTTTATTGTGGAATCTGGCATTTCAGGGTCAACACTAGGTTGTTAAAAACCAAAGTCTGTTTGTCTTTTTGAGCTTCCCACTCTTTTGCTTAAGATTGCATATTCATTTTTTTTCTCTCCAGTAGAAATACAATTTGTCCTATACTTGAAGAGGCTTAAAAATAGCTCATAGACAGTTACAGTATTTCTTAGTACATTAAGTAGAGAAATGTAAAGGAAAATTTGTTTATTTTGCATCTCTTCCCATTATCCCACAGTTAGTAAAGCAAGATGGAATGTAAAATTTTTAATTAGTATTAATATTAAATTAATAATTGCATTTCTGTAATACTTGAAAATATTTGAGTGGAGAGATGGAACTCTGGATGGTTACTCTTTTTCCTAGGAGAACTAATTCTGAGGTAGTGTAGTAAGTAGTTAAAGGGAATATAGGCATTAATAAATTAAAATTGGCTTTCAACTATGATTTTTTAAATTTTTTTGTTTGTGGCCTATGACTTTAAAAAATACATGTTCCTCCATGGTAGTGCACACACTTTGCAATTGTTAGATCCCTGTCCTATCCCCAGCAATTCCCTCCCCCACCCCCCAAAAAAAAACCCCTTCCAACTGTACAATTTAAGAGTATCGAAGTAAGGGTATAGCGATAGTAAATTGTTAGAATTTACCACTTTTGTGAGATTAAGCAATAATGGTTAGCAACATTTTTTCCTGATTTCCGTTTCTTTGGTGTTGGTGTTATGAGTATATTGTACCTGATTTATAACCTATACCTTTCTGAATTCTTTTGTTACACATCAAGAGGAATTGAGTGTGTGCCTGCCTGGGGGAAAAGCTAAAGTTTCAAATGTAAGAGTATGGGAGTAAATTAAAGTGTCAAAAAAACTAAATAATTCAGCTTTGCATTGTGGCAGCTGTGTTTTCCTTGTTGAATAATATAGCTTCATCCTTTGGAATTTTTTAAAAGGTGTTCATGAGACAGTGGACAATTCTAGGTGATGGTTTTTTGGTTATTGTGTACTTTATAAAAATATAGCTATCACAGAATTAGATTATTTATGCTCCTTGAGCCCATTGAAGGATAGGTTAATTTTTAAGTAATGCAGTAGAGTTGTCAAAGTAAACTAAAATTAATGTTATGAAACCGTAAACTCTGATAAACCATATATGTTTGGATATGAGTGATGCTTATGTAGATTAAAAGTATTATTTCCCAAGTTCTTTTGCGTGTTTTTCTTCTCTTGGTATTTAATGATATTAAATGGAGAAAATCTGGTCCTGCAAGATTATACAGTGGGTAAGATATTGCATACTGTTGACCCAGATTTGATCCCGGACATCCCATGTGGTTCCAACCAGGAGTGATCCTTTAGTATAGCCGGTGTGTCCCATATATTTATATGTGCCTACACCCCAATGGATGTTGTCACGAATCCCCATGGACAAGCCATAGGTGAATCTCAGGTGTGCGGCTGCCTGGACCCTCATGAGATCTTAGCTTTAAGTGTTGTTGGTATGAGTTACAGTTAGCTTTAGGTTTAGGGTAGGGCTAGGTGAAAGAGTAGTATAGGGTTATGGTTAAAGGTAGGGGTAGAGTTAGATTTAAGGTGAGAGGGTTAGGTTTAGGGTTATGGTTAGTGGTAGGTTTATGGTGGGAGGTGTGGTTAGCCTTAGAGTTAGGTTTGAGGTTAGGGATACGTTTAGGGTTATTATTGGGTGAGGGTGTTACTATTAGTGTAAGAGTAAGGGTACAATTAGGTTTAGGGTTATGGATGGTGTTATTAGGGTAAGAGTAAGGGTTAAGGTTAGGGTTAATGTTAGAGTTAAGGTGAACGGGTTGCGTCTAGGGTTTTAATTAGGGTTGGAGGGTTAGAGGTTCAAGGTTAAGAGAGTGAGAATGACGTTGAGTGAAGGGTTCAGGTTAGGGTTAGATTTAAGGCTAGGGTTAGGACTAGAGCTAGTGTTGTTAGTGTTTTGATTAAGGTTAGGTTAAGAGTTAAGGTTAGCGTTTGGGTTAGGTTTAGGGATAGTGTGTGATACAGATTAAGGGTTAAGGTTAGATTAGGGTTAGGTTTGAGGTTACGATCTTGGTGAGGTTAGTGTTAGGTTTAGGGTGAGGTGTTGGGGTTAGGTTTAGGGTTAGGTTATGTTAGAGTTAGGTTTAGGGTTAGGATCTTGGTCAGGGTCAGGGTAGGGGTTAGGTTTAGGGATAGGCATTATGGGTTAGAGTTAGGGGTTAGTGTTAGTATTAGGTTTAGGCTTAGAGTTAGGAGTTTGGGTTAGGGTTAGATTTTAGGGTTAATATGTTTAGGGTTAGGATTTGGGTTTAGGGTTAGTGTTAGGGTTATGGTCAAGGTAAGGGTCAGGCTCAAGATCATGATCAGGTTTTGGGTTAGGTTTAGTTTTAGGGTTAGGTTGACTGGGGTTAGAGTTATATTTGGGTTAGAGGGTTAGGGTTATGAATAGTGTTCGGATAGATATTAGGGTTAGGGGTTAGCATGAGTGAAGGTGACATTTAGGGTGAAGGTGAGTAGGGTAGGGTTGCGGTTAGGGTTAGCATTAGGTTTAGGGTAAGTTTAGGCTTAAGGTTGAGGTAGGGTTAGGTTTAGGGTTGGGGCTAGGATTAGGGCTAGAGCTAACACTAAATGTACATTTAGGGTTCAGTTTAGGGCAAGGGTTATTGCTAGGTCTAGGGGCAGTGTTAGGGATAGGGTTTTGGTTTTTGTTAGGGGTAGGTTAGGATTCTGGTTATAAGGGTTAGAGGATAGTGTTAGAATAGGATTAGAGTTAAGGGTCACTATTTTAGGGTTAGGTTTAGCGTTAGGTCAATGTAAGGTTAGGGTTTTATGCTTAGGATTATGGTTGTGATTGTTAGGATGAGGGAGATAACACGAGCGTGTGGGTTAGGTTGAGGGTGAGCATAGGTGTTAGGGTTGGTGTTAAGGTTTGAGTTCAGGGTCAGGGTCAGTGTAGGGGTTAAGTTAGGGTTAGTGTTAAGATTAGGGGTTGTCAGGGTTGGGGTTAGGTTTTGGGTTCAGGGTTAGGATGATAAGGGAAGGTTTTTGGTTAGGTTTAGGATTAGTGTTAGGGTTAAGTTTATGGCTTAGGGTTAGGGTTATAGTTTGGGTTAGAGGGTTAGTTTATGGTTAGTGATAGGTATTAGGGTTAGGTGTTAGCATGAGGGTGAGGGTGAGTGTAGTTTAGGATAGAATTAGGGTTAGGGTGAGGTTAGGTTTATGGTTTAGGATTAGTTTAGGGTTAGGGATAGGATTAAAGTTAGGATCGGTTTAGGACTAGATTTATGGGAGGGTCTAGAGTAGGGCTAGGGGTTAGTGCTAGGTCTATGGGTAGATTTAGGGTTTTGTTTAGGGTTAGGATTAGTGTTAAGGTTTGGTTAAGGGTTAGGACTATGGTTAGTGTTTAGAGGATAGGGTTAGGATTTGCGTTTAGGGTAAGAGTAAGGGTCAGGGTTAGATTCAGGATCAGGTTAAGTGTCAGGGTCACAATAGAGGTAGAGTTTGGGTTAAAAATAGAGTTAGCGTTAGGTCAGGGTTAGCATTAGGGTTAGGTTTATGTTAGGGTTAGGGTTATAGTGTTAGGGTGAAGGAGATCATGAGTGTGGGGTTAGGGTGAGAGGTTGTGGGTGAGCATAGGTGTTAAGGGTTAGGTTGGGTTAGGGATAGTGTTTGGATTAAGGTTCAAGTTTGGGTTGGGTTCAGGGTAGAGGTCAGTGTAGGGTTAGGGTAGGAGTTAGGGTTAGGATTATGGATTTTGATAGGTTTAGGTTAGTGTTAGGTTTATAGTTAAATTTAGGTTTAATCATTAGGGGTTAATGATTAGGGTTAGAATAGGATGAGTGTTAGGGTTAGGCTTAGTGTATGGTTAGGGTTAAGGTTAGCGGTAGGGGTAGGGTTGGTTTAGGGTTTAGGGTTAAAGTTAGGGTATGATTAGGGGTTATTATTGTTTGGCTAGGGGTAGGGTTACTATTAGGTTAGGATTAGAGAGGTTTAAGTAGGTTTAGATTAGTGTTAAGGTTATGGTTAGGCTAGTGTCAGGGTCAAGTCAGAATCAGGGCCTGGGTAGGGATTAGGGCTAGGGTTAGGCTTAGGGGTTAAGGGATAGGGCTAGGGTTAAGGTTAGGATAAGGGTTAGGTTAGATTTAGGGTTAGGATTAGTGTGAGGATTGGGGTTTAGGTTTAGAGTTAGGGTCAGTTTCAGGGTAAGTCTTAGGTTCTGGGTCAGGTTAGGGTAAGCATTAGGTCAGGAGTAGGATTAGGTGTATGGTTATGGTTATGGTTAAATGTTAGGGTGAGGGAGATAGGTTTAGGGTGAGGGTTAGCTTGATGGTGAAAGTAGGTGTTCGGGTTAGAGTTAGGGTTTGGGTTTGGGGTCAAAAGAGTCAGGGTCAGGGTGGGATCTATGTAGGGGTGTGTTTAGGGTTAATGATAGGATTCCGGGTAGAGATAGGTCATTACGGTTACGGTTAGCATTAGGGTTAGGGTTATGGTTTGGGTTAGGGTTAGGATAAGGGTTAGGTAAGGGTAGAATTAAGGATTCGGGGTTAGGGATTTAGGGTTAGGGTTAGAATATGGGTTTAGGGTTACAGTTAGGGTCAGCTTCAGGGTAAGGTTAAGAATTACGATCATGGTAGGGTTAGAGCTTGATTTAGGGTTAGGATTAGCGTTAGGTCAGGGGTAGGCTTAGCATTAGATTTAAGGTTAGGGTTAGGCTTCTGGTTAAGTTAGGGTGAGGGAGATAGTGAACATGAGGGTGACAGTGAGGGTTAGGTTTAGGGTGAGCGTAGGTATTATTCCTAATTGTGGGATAACCCTAACTTAAATTAGGGTTAAAGTTAGGGTTAGTCTTTGGGTTAGGGTTAGGCTTAAGGTTAGGGTTTAGGGATAGAGTTAGGGGTTAGGAGTTAGGGTTAGTGGTTAGGGGTTACAGTTAGAATTAGGGTTAGAGTTAGGGTTATGGGTTAGGGTTAGGGTTTATTTAGGTTTAGATTTAGGTTAGAGGGTTAGGGTCAGCTCTAGTGTTAGTGTTACAGTTAGGTTTTGGGTTAGGCATTGGTGTTAGAAAAGTGGTTTCGGTAAGGGTAAGTGTCCAGGTTAGGGTCTTTTCAGGGTTAAGGTTCAGGGTGATGGTAGGTTTTATAGTTAAAGGTAGGGTTAGGGTTAGAATAGGGTTGCAATTAGGTTTGAGTTTAGGTTTAGGGTTAGGCTTAAGGTATATCTCGGGTTAGGGTTAGAATTTTTGTTAGGGGATGGCAACTCCTCCCAGCATCCCGTGAACCTGCAGCCACTTCCAGCACTGTCCTGACTCCCTCCACCAGGTGTACAGACCTCGCTGGCTGGTGACCCATTTCCCATGCGTGCCCCAACCCAGAATCCAGACGGCAACTCCTTCCAGCATCTCGCATGCTTGCAGCCCGCTTCCAGTACAGCCCTGACTCCCTCCACCAGGTGTGCGGATCTTCCTGGCTGGTGACCCATTCCTCGTGCATGCCCCAACTCAACCAGATGGCAACTACTCCCAGTATCCTGCAGGATCTACAGTGCAGCAAGGTGGCCACAGTTATTTTTCCCTTTCCCAATACTCTGGACTCACATCTCAGTCTCCATTACCTAATTCTGTGGAGAACATCCAGACCATTTCAAACACAGTAGGCCAATAGTCCACTTAGCCTATTCCAATCTTACCAAAATAATGGTGCACACAAGAAGTTGCACAAATCTAATATAAAAGAACACATCCTCTGAAGCTTCACTAAAGGCCCCACATAAGTCACAGAGGAATATCAAAGAGGAAGGTAGTATTCTAGAAAGGGAAAAGGCAACCACCATTGATCAAGCTCATCCAGAATCCTTTCTTGCATTGAGAGGGGTACTTTGGTAGTGGACTGGAGGGCCCCACCTCCCTACTACCATACCAACATGAAGAACTAGCACAAATCCCCACCACGAGGAGAGGATGAAGAAAAGAGTCCAGAAGCCTTAACAAATACGATCTCTCCAATAAAGAATTCAGAGATGAAATGTTGAAGATATTCAATGAACCCAAAGAAATGGTGGAACAGGCATCTAGTAAATTAAAGGAGGACTTGAAAGAAATAGTGGAACCCATGAAAATGGGCGAGATTTCTCGTGTGTCCTGACTGGTTTGGATGAGGCTGAACATCTTTTTCCTTCAAACTGCCTTCAGTAAATAATTTCAT